CCACCATATAACTTTTAAATGGTAGTGTTGCAATAAACAGTATTGGCTCAGGAAAAATAAACTTGTGCCATCATGTACGAACAAGAAGTTATATTATTCTCTTCAGAAAATGGAAAAGTTACTTCTAGGACTGCAACTCCCAGAATTCCATAGTTAGCGTAAGCTGTGCTTCTACAGAAGAGCCTTTCTGGTTCCAAAAATACCTTTTCCAAGCTCTGAAACCCATCTGTGATTCTGTCTGTCCAAAAGCAACAAACTATAAATCAGTGTTATCAGTGACCTCAATTCTTCTCTTTTCAATTTTTTAAAAATTCTTGTCTGTTTGTGCTGACACTTTTGAGGCTGGTATTTAAGAATACCTTTCAGTGCCCCCGATTTTAAAACCCAGATCCCTCTCACTATAGTTGTTGCATGTGCGCAGAACACAGCAGTTCAACCAGAGACAAGGGGCACATTGACCCTGACTAGGTAACGTGGGACAAAAGCGGCAGAAGTGGAAGCAAAGTAAACATGAACTTGAATACATGTCAAGTGGAGGAATAAGGTCAAGGCTGAGTGGTGCTATTCACAACAGAGTGATTCACTCTGACCTGATTCCAGGTCTGTGAGATCTGTGGACTCACAGCCTTCGAGGATTCAGGTTTGCATCTTTCCCTTATTCTGTTCTACCATGTGATGTGGTTTATACCTATATGTGTGGGTGCACATTTCAGTTCCTATTTCAGTTTATCCCCCATTTTTGCTCATCCCAGGTGCATCTACACTGGAATTAATGCATTGTGACACGACTTTAAGGGCTATAGCTCAACATTATGAAATCTTAGGAGGTGTAGCTTTACAAGGTATTTATATTTCTCTGCCAAAGATTTCTAAACTATAAATCTCATGATTCCATAGCATTGAGCCATGGTAGTAAGTTTAGGGTGAGCATAAAGGTTAGGGTAAGGTTTAGGGTTTCAGTTAGGGTAAGGGTTTGGATATGGGGTTAGATGTATGCTTATGATACAGTTCAGGGTTAGGATTTCACCATTAAAGAACTCTTACATTCTTTCTATATTATCTGTCTCTGGTCTGGCTTACATTAGCTAAGTCTATCTTGCGCAAACAGCACTCCCGAAGGAGCGATGCAGCTTCTCCGTAACACTAGGAGCTTCTGGACCCAGCTATCATACTATTATCCAACTCCCACCACTCCTAACAGCTTAAGGCCCCTTCCTTCCCCCCCCCCCCCCCCAGCTGCTTAAGCAATTGGCTTCTGTTGCTGGACTAAATGACCTGTTATCCCTGATCTGGAAGGAAACAGAGAATATGCCATGGGCAAACTTGGGCCCTTCAGGTGTTTTGGACTTCAACTCCCGTTGATAGTATGATAGCTGGGTCCGGAAGCTCTGAGCGTTACGGAGATGCCACAAAGGCGGCTGTGAATAAGGGAAGAGAGGGGGCAGAGTGATAGCGGGGAGAGCAAAGGAAGGATAGAAAGAAGGGAATGCTTAGAGTAAGGGTTAGGGCAAGGTTTTGGGTTTGTGTTAGGGTAAGGGTTAGGGGTTATGGTCAGCACGGTATGGTTCAGTGTTAGGGTAAGGTTTAGGGTTTGGGTAAGATTTAGGGTTTGGGATACGGTAAAGGTTAGGGTTGAAAGCGAGGAGGAGCTGAGGAGCCGTCTAATTAAGGTGAAAGAAGAAAGCGCAAAATCTGGGTTGCAGTTAAACATAAAAAAACCCCAAGATTATGGCAACAAGAATGACTGACAACTGGGAAATAGAGGAAGAAAACATGGAGGCAGTGACAGACTTTGTATTTCTAGGTGCAAAGATTACTGCAGACGCAGACTGCAGCCAGGAAATCAGGAGATGCTTACTTCTTGGGAGGAGAGCAATGACCAATCTCGATAAAATAGTGAAAAGTAGAGACATCACACTGGCAACAAAGGTCCTCATAGTCAAAGCCATGGTATTTCCCATAGTCACCTACGGATGTGAGAGCTGGACCTTAGGGAAGGGTGAGCAAAGGAAGATAGATGCTTTTGAGCTGTGGTGTTGGAGGAAAGTTCTGAGAGTGCCTTGGACTGCGAGAAGATCCAACCGGTCCATACTTCAGGAAATAAAGCCCGGCTGCTCGTTGGAGGGAAGAATAGTAGAGGCCAAGATGAAGTACTTCGGCCACATAATGAGAAGAAAGGAAAGCTTAGAGAAGACAATTACGCTGGGCAAAATGGAAGGAAAAAGGAAGAGGGGCCGACCAAGGGCAAGATGGATGGGATCCTTGAAGTGACTGGCTTGACCTTGAAGGAGCTGGGGGTGGTAACGGCCGACAGGGAGTTCTGGTGTGGGCTGGTCTATGAGGTCACGAAGAGTCGGAAACGACTGAACGAATGAACAAGGGGTAGAGTAAGGGTTTGGGTAAGGGGTATTTTATTTATTTGTCGTGTCAGAGCAACCAGTCCATTATATTACATTTCTAACAGAACAAAGCAAACAAACAGACAAAATACAAAAATTGTGAGTTTGGTAGTTGGTTAAATGTCCTTTGACCAGTATCTGGCCACTTGGAGTGCTTCTGGTGTTGCTGCAAGAAGGTCCTCCATTGTGCATGTGGCAGGGCTCAGGTTGCATTGCAGCAGGTGGTCAGTGGTTTGCTCTTCTCCACACTCGCATGTCGTGGATTCCACTTTGTAGCCCCATTTCTGAAGGTTGGCTCTGCATCTCGTGGTGCCAGAGCGCAGTCTGTTCAGCGCCTTCCAGGTTACCCAGTCCTCTGTGTGCCCAGGGGAGTCTCTCATTTGGTATCAGCCATTGGTTGAGGTTCTGGGTTTGAGCCTGCCACTTTTGGACTCTCGCTTGCTGAGGTGTTCCAGCGAGTGTCTCTGTAGATCTTAGAAAAATATGTCTAGATTTAAGTTGTTGACGTGCTGGCTGATACCCAAACAGGGGATGAGCTGGAGATGTCTCTGCCTTGGTCCTTTCACTATTGGCTGCTGCTTCCCGGCGGATGTCAGGTGGTGTAATACCGGCTAAGCAGTGTAATTTCTCCAGTGGTGTAGGGCGCAGACACCCCGTGATAATGCGGCATGTCTCATTAAGAGCCACATCCACTGTTTTAGTGTGGTGAGATGTGTTCCACACTGGGCATGCATACTCAGCAGCAGAGTAGCACAGCGCAAGGGCAGATGTCTTCACTGTATCTGGTTGTGATCCCCAGGTTGTGCCAGTCAGCTTTCGTATAATATTGTTTCTGGCACCCACTTTTTGCTTGATGTTCAGGCAGTGCTTCTTGTAGGTCAGAGCACGGTCCAGTGACTCCCAGGTATTTGGGTGCACTGCAATGCTCCAATGGGATTCCTTCCCAGGTGATCTTCAGAGCTCGGGATGCTTCTCTGTTCTTGAGATGAAAGGCACATGTCTGTGTTTTAGATGGGTTAGGGATCAGCTGGTTTTCCCTGTAGTAGGCAGTAAGAGCACCTAGAGCTTCGGAGAGCTTCTGTTCTACCGTCTCAAAGCTCCCTGCTTGAGCGGTAATGGCACAATCATCAGCATAGATGAAACTCTCTGTCCCTTCTGGCAGTGCTAAGGGGTTAGTCTTACCGTAAGGTTCAGGGTAAGGGTGAGGGTTTCACCATTAAAGAAACCAGCTCTCATACTATTACCCAATAACAAAAATAATGTTATGGCTGGGAGTCACCACAACACGAGGAACTGTATTAAGGGGTCGTGGCAATTGAAAGGTTGAGAAACACTGACTGAGATATTGACAAGCTGGAATGTGTCCAGAGGAGGGCGACTAAAATGATCAAGGGTCTGGAGAACAAGCCCTATGAGGAGCGGCTTAAAGAGCTGGGCATGTTGAGCCTGAAGAAGAGAAGGTTGAGAGGAGATATGACAGCCATGTATAAATATGTGAGAGGAAGCCACAGGGAGGAGGGAGCAAGCTTGTTTTCTGCTTCCCTGGAGACTAGGACGCGGAACAATGGCTTCAAACTACAAGAGAGGAGATTCCATCTGAACATGAGGAAGAACTTCCTCACTGTGAGAGCCGTTCAGCAGTGGAACTCTCTGCCCCGGAGTGTGGTGGAGGCTCCTTCTTTGGAAGCTTTTAAACAGAGGCTGGATGGCCATCTGTCAGGGGTGATTTGAATGCAATATTCCTGCTTCTTGGCAGGGGGTTGGACTGGATGGCCCATGAGGTCTCTTCCAACTCTTTGATTCTATGATTCTATAGAGCTTTGAGCGACCCACTTTGGAGAGGCCTCCAGCCAATGAGAGGCGAGGACAACACTCCATATGGAAATACGGGCGGAGGGAGGGAGGAGAGGAGGAGGGATTTGCGAGAGGGAGGCTGGACGGCGCATTGTGCACCCTTTTCTAATTAAAGGGCTTCGTGCGGAGGAGGACGAGGAGGCGCATGCGCAGACCACCCTCCCCACCAGGAAACCTCCTCCTCGGCAAGGAGACTGACTGACAGCTCCTCCTTTCGAGTCCTTTGTCTGCAAAGCGGGTCACGTTACTGGAGCCCCAGCCCGGGCGAGACGTTATAAAAAGAGCCCTCTGTGTCGTTTTCTACACCATTTCTATGTATACATACAAACTTGGGCCTTGGAGGTGTTTTGGACTTCAACTCCCACCATTCCTAACAGCCTCAGGCCCCTTCCTTTCCCCCCTCAGCCGCTTAAGCGGCTGAGGGGGGAAAGGAAGGGCATGAGGCTGTTAGGAATGGTGGGAGTTGAAGTCCAAAACACCTCCAAGGCCAAAGTTTGCCCATGCCAATGGAATGAAAGGGGGAGACGCTTCAAGGTCCCTGAAGGTGTTGACAGCCCTCCCTTTCAAGGCATGATGAAGAATGGACGGCTTCTCCACCTTTTGTGTGGGAGATCCCTGCTCAGCCCAGGGAGGGTCGGAGATTGACAGCGCCGGCTCCCTCTTGGCCCCGCCCCTTTTCCTCCCCCACCTCCCGATGTGCGCGGGTTCGCATGGCAGTCACGTCCTCCGCCGCGGGAGCGCGCCCGCCCGCCTGTCCGCGAGAACGAGCGAGGGAGAAGCCGAGGCAGCAGCAGCAGCAGCACCATTAGACGTCAAAAGGGCCCTTATGAATATTGATGCGGGGAAGGCTCGCGCCGCTTTCGTCAAGGAGCAGAAAGAAGCAAGATGGCTGCCCTTTAGGATTGGGTAGGAGGCAGAGCCCTGCGCGTCGGACGGACGGACGGACGGAGGAGGAGGAGGAGGAGGAGGAAAAGGAGGGCGGCCCAGGCCCAGAGAGAGGTCAGAGCGCTTTCTCTCTCCCCCCCTTTCTGTCCCTTTCTCTCTCTCTTCCCTCTTTTTCCTTTGATTCCACCTTGGACTACTTCTCATCCCCCCACAACAACAAAAAACACACACACAACACGCAACTCTTCTTCAGGGTTGGCGAGGAAAAGGGGAAATACTGAGGATGAGCTGCTTCTCTAACATGGCACACAAATAGACATCTTTCTGGATCGCCCCCTTTCACCACCTTTTCCCTTTTTTCCTGTCTTCTTCATTGCTGTGAGAGCTCCTCTCCCAGCTTGCTCTCCCTGTCTTCTTCCTCTCGTTCCCAACTTGGTTCGGGTCAATAGAGCTAGTTATTGCCTTCCCCAGAGTTTCCCGTTGGAAAGTTTGCCCTCTCTTGAGTCTCTCCCCCTTCCTCTTCCTCCTCCTCTTCTTATTCCTTTTCCTCCTCCTCCTCCTTCCTCTTCTTCCTCCTCCTCTTCTTCCTCTTCCTCCCCCTTCACTTCTTCCTCCTCTTCCTCCTCCTCTGTTTTTTCTTCCTCTTCCTCCTCCTCTAATTCTTCCTCTTCCTTCTCCTTCCTCTTCTTCTTCCTTTTCCTCCTCCTCCTCCTTCCTCTTCTTCATCTTCCTCCTCCACCTCGTCCTCTTTCTCCTCCTCTTCTTCTTTCTCCTCCTCCTCTTCTTCCTCCTCCCCCCTTCACTTCTTCCTCCTCTTCCTCCTCCTCTGTTTTAGCTTCCTCTTCCTACTCTTCTTCCTCTTCTTCTTCCTCATCTTTCTCCTCCTCCTCTTCTTCCTCCTCTAATAATGATTCTTCTTTCTCCTCATCTTCTTCTTCCTTTTCCTCATCCTTTTTCGTCATCTTCCTCCTCTTCTTCCTCCTCCTACTCCTCCCTCTTCTTCCTCTTCCTTCTCTTCTTCCTCTCCTTCTTTCCCCTCCTCCTCTTCTTCTTTCTCCTCCTCTTCTTCCTCTTCCCCCCCTTCACTTCTTCTTCCTCCTCTTCTTTCTCCTCCTCTTTTTTGTCTTCTTCCTTCACTTCTTCTTCTTCCTCTTCTTCTGCTTCCTCCTCCTCTTCCTCCTCCTCCATTCTTTCCTTCTCCTTCCCTTTCTTCCTCCTCCTCAGCTGCTTTTTAAATTGCAGCTGCTCCTTTCCACACGTGCCTCCACTTTTCTTTCCTTTTGGGTGGAAGTAGGAATTGGTTTCCTTTTAATAAATAAAATAGAATAGTTGAGCCAAAGTTTCCGAGAGAGGCGGAAGGTTTGGGAGCTTTGAGAGGAAAGCAAACTCTTTAGTTTTTGGAGAAGCTGCTTGGAAGGGCATAGTTTTATGTCTCGCTCGGGCAAAGGGAGAGATTGCTGTCTGAGAGACTGATTGGGGGAGGGGGTGGGTTCATCTTTATGTGTTTCTGGCTTTGTGCTTTTCATGAATCAGCTCTCATTTGGCGTCCAGGTGAGTGACAAGCAGACACAAAGGCAGGCGCAGTCCGAAAGGAGGAGGAGGCCAACACAAAACTCACAGAATACTAGGGCCCCTTCCACACAGCTGAATAAAATCCCACATTTTCTTTGAACTGGAATATATGGCAGTGTGGACTCAGATATCCCAGTTCAAAGCAGATATTGTGCGATTTTCTGCCTTGATATTCTGCTTATATAGCTGTGTGGAAGGGCCCAGGGAGAGAGGGAGAAGGGGGCACGGATGGTGGAGTTTTTGAGGACTCCAAGGTCAGCGGACTTGAAGAAAACTGAAGCCCAGTCCTAAGGAAGACAAGGAGAAATGGGAGAGGAGGTTGACATCACAGCATCCTTTCTCTGCTCAGGATGCAGGATGATAATCACTACATTGTTTTGTCACTGTGATTATGGCTTTATGGCACGCAATACATGGCGGCGGATGGAGAGGGAGAAGAATTGCTCCTCTTTATGTCCTTTTAATTGCTTTTGGGCCCGATTAGGGACCTTTTAGACCAACATCAGTAGGGTAGGTTTGAGTCCTGTGCACATTTGTTTTGTTTTCCTGTCCAAAATGATAGATAATCCCCTAATACCCCCCCCCCCCCCGGTTAGTTTTGAACAGTAATGAGAGCTTTTAGGGGCCTTCCACACAGCCCTATATCCCAGAATATCAAGGCAGAAAATCCCACAATATCTGCTTTGAACTCAGATAATGTGGGATTTTCTGCCTCGATATTCTGAGATATAGGGCTGTGTAGAAGGGCCCTTAGAAAGATCCTCTTTTTTCCCTCTTGGAGATCTGAGCAAGTTTTACTCCATCAGTTAATATAGATTTGTGCCTTTTGCTTAGAGTGGAAGCGGGGGAGGAGCTGGTGGCTTCCATTGAAACATTCACTCTAATGATCTCATTTTGAATCCTCTCCCAACCTCTCCCCATACAAAACCTGACACCTTGAGATGGCAAGCAGTGGCGAAGAAGGGACTCTGGTGGCTGCTGTGGGTTGGAAATGATATTTAAAGCAGGCAGACGAACCAAGGTCTTTCTCCTTCTGTTCAAAGAAGGTCAGTGGGTGTTGTTTGCCAGCTAATGAGGCCATTGTATTTGCATTTAAATGGCAGGCTGACGCTGGAGAGAGGAGTGGTGAGGAGTCCTGAGCAGAGCGCTTGTACATTGGTTTGTGTAATTGCATGTGTATTCCATGATGGCACTTTCAGCTGAGAACGTGGCCTACAAAACAGGGCTCATTTGTAAAACAAATTCGGCAGATGGGTGTTAATGGTCAGGCAGCATGAATGAGCTTCAGTTGTGGGGATGATCAAAAGACAAAGCAATTCACACCCAGTGTGTGCTTCAACTAGATCCCCACCTCCATCCAAAACACACTACTTGTTGAGTTGCTGTGAGTTTTTCAGACTGTATAGCCATGTTTCAGAAGCATTCTCTCCTGACATTTCCTCACATCTATGGCAGGCATCCTCAGAGGTTGAAGGGTCTGTTGCAAAGGAGGAAAGTAAGTTTTATATATCTGTGGAATGTCCAGGGTGGGAGAAAGACTCTTGTCTGCTTGAGGCAAGTGTGAATGTTGCAATTGGCCACCTTGATTAGCATTTAATGACCTTGCAGCTTCAAAGCCTGGCTGATTGTTGCCTGTTGAAATTTCTTCCCTGAGGCCAAGTGTCTAAGCTACAGCATCTTTCTTAACATTTGTGAAAAGCTATAGCCCAGTCATGGGCAAACTTAATCCCTCTAGGCATTTTGGACTTCCACTATTCCTTAACAGCCTCAGGCCCCATCCTTTTTCCTCTCAGAGCGATTGGGGGGAGGGAGGAAAGGGCCTAAGGCTGTTAGAAATGGTGGGAGTTGAAGTCCAGAACACCAGAGGGCCCAGGTTTGCCCATGCCTAGGCTATAGTCATTCATTCTCCTGTGCTTGGTTATGTCAGCAGTTTTTGTGAAACTGTAAGAACTTCATATTTGTTACATTGTTCTTCCTCTTTCTGAAAAAAAAAAGAAAGATATACGTGTTGTTTCCATTCTCCTCTTAACACATTCCTAGATGAAGACTGCATTAATAAAAATATAAACTATTGCATAAAGAGTTTGGGGTTTGCGTATTTCTTCCATAGCCTTACGTTGAGTATCCATATGTTGCTATGAGCACCTGGTCTGGTGTTACAGAAAATGTAAACAAAAAACTAATAACGGGGTAAGCGTAGTAACAGATTCAGTTGCAGGGATTTTCCTTTTCACTTGGAAGACCTGTACAGGGATTAGTTGCGGATAAATACTCTATTCCTGCATAACTTGCATTCAGTGACCTCAATTCTCTGGCCAGTTCAACTAGAGCCAACGACTGACTGGCACCTACATTATCCGGCCAGTCCAGTTGGAGTTAACTGCTCAATTCTCTGGCCAATCCAATTATTAAGTCAACGGCTAAGTGGCATATTGATCTGGTATGCATAGTTTGTTAGCAGTGTGTATCCTTCTATGTCAGAGCTGGAGAACATTTGGCATTTCAGGTGTGATTGAACTTCAGCTTTCCTCATGGGCAGTGCTGTGGGAATTGCATTCCAACAGCTGGAGGACTACACAATTCTCAGACTCACTGTATGTAGTGTGGTATGCTTGGAGCCTAAATTCTCGGTTATTGTTTTAGCCTTCAGGTTGGTAAACACAATTATATCTAGACCAGGTGCAGTGTCTTGTGGGAATCTTATAAGAAATGAAGTAAATAACTAGCACTGATTCATAAAGTTTGTTATTTACTCTTCCTTCAATCTGTAAATATGCCCCATGACACATTTCTATAACACAGGGTTTGGAGAAGCTGTGGTGAGTTCTGGACTCCAGCCTAGCTGGTATGACAAGTGGTCAAGCATGCTGTGTGATGTCAAATGGCATCTTGAGGATAACAAGTTACCCACCAGTGTGCTATAAAACCAAGTAATCTTTTAGGGTTAAGAATGTGCACACCGCTCCACAGAAGTACCTAAAAGTGAGGCTATATTCAAGACAAAAGGTAGTGTTTAGAACAGCCATGGGCAAACTTTGCCCCTCTGGGTATTTTGGACTTCAACTCCCACAATTCCTAACAGCCTACCAGCTGTTAGGAATTGTGGGAATTGAAGTCCAAAACACCCAGAGGGGCGAAGTTTACCATTCCTGGTTTAGGAGAATAGTGATGCACAGTGAGTAGGGTGTGTATAGATCAGTAGCATTTAAACTCTTCTTTCATCCCAATGTGATAAATCATTATATGTGCAATTAAAGATTTCGACTCTTTCATGCCTTGCTATATAGAACTAATAATGAAAAACATTATCTAAACATAAAGAACCTTAGTATTTGTTTCAGAATCTTTTATTTACTGAATTTTTGTCCATATATTGAGAAAAGGAAAAAAATAATAAATCCAAGATATGACTGATATGTCATATAACAAAGTCTTAACCGACTTTGCCATTGTATTGGTTCCTGCCCCAGATTTTGTTGCTCTTGTCTTGTTGGGATATTGGTTTGCTCTGTGGTCAGTTAATATTTATGGGAGAGAGATTT